GCCCTCCAGAGTCTGCACATCCCAAGAGATTTGTGCTTGGCAGGCAGGGCTGGTTAATGTCTGAGTTCCAATGTGCTGCATGGGCCAAGATTGCTCTGCACGCTTCCTCACAGCCTGTGGGCTAAAGCGCGCTTTCCCCTGCAGCAAGAAATAGTTCCCCCACCTTCAGACCATAGTTATTCCCAGGAGAAGGTGAGGGAGACAGCTCTGCACACCCGCCCCCACAGCACCCCTGGAGCCCTGCGCCAGCCTGCTTAGGGCTTGGGGGGTCTTATCCTGACCTGCAAACACATAGGATCGTTGAAGTTATCTTGTGTGATAACATTCTTTTGTAATTATCTTACACAGCAGATGCTTCTTCTGCGAGCATTTCTAGGCAGCCCCTGAGTAACCAAGCACCTCCAAGAGAGGACAGTCTTTTTCAGATGGGACCACAGTATTTAAGGTTAGATACTTCTCCATGAACATAGGGGAAAAGGAGAAGTAAGGAAGAAGAATTTTGAATTTAGCTACAAAAAAGAGACAAACTGAGATGAATTTCATTGCACCATGGTACAAAGAAGAATTAGTTTAATATAATAAAAGCAAAATTCATGCTTTATAGTTTAATTGAATCTGATCTGAACTTAGCTTTTAAGGAAGAAAGCCTCAGCATTATTTCAAATCAACATAGTATATATCATAAAAGTTCAATTAAAAGATAAAAACCCCTTATTCTGAGAAGTCTCAAGTCTTACTGTGGTGCAGACAGACTTTAAAGAGCATGTTTGGCATCCACGGCTGTCCACATTCACTCTCTCCTAACTACACTAGACAGTTATCCATAAAATAGAAGAGAAAGAATATTTTCTTCTTCAAGAACCAATGCTCTGGATAAAAAATTTGAAATGATAAAAATCTCACTACTTATCCTTTTACTATTCCACCAAAGATAAATTTTTCTCTTGATTTGTTAATTTTTAATAATCTCAAATTAATAGGATTGACAATGTAAGTCTTCTAAGATAATACTCCTGACTCCACACTGATATGTCCTCTTAATGCCTCTTCCTAATGCTACATCGATATTTCATTAATTTCAATGCCAAGTAACTCTTTTGTAAGTAATGAGCAGTATGCTGCTGAGAGCTTACCAGAACTCATTCAATATTGACATTGCGTCTGCCATAAAATTTAAGTAATCTTGTTTTATCTTAGTGTTCCAAATACCATTTTGTGAGTTTAATCAAGGAGTCAGAAAGACAACTGGGACACGACAACAAAATGGGATCAATTACTAATAATTCCCATTCTCTGCTAAAATGTGTCTTATCTGAAGCTTGCAAAGTTATTTCATGTTTTCCATCATTTCAGGGAAAAGAAAGTCTGGAAAATCCTAGTCATTTCACAGTAACTATCAGTGGGATTTTCCATAACTATCTGGATGCAAAATAAAAATCTTAAGAAGTTGATCCAATTCTAAAACTTACTTCTCAACTTGCTAATAAATATAAAGTGAAAACCCATCCATATTTTCCTCAAATAACATCTGGTTCCTTGGCCAAATTGCTAATATCTGGAAAAGTTTCTGATTTATTCCACAAATCTCATGTAAAGCACTTAAAAATTCATTTTGCCCATGCTGTCTTTTCTACATCTGATATAGGGCCTCAGATGAGATTTTGACATAGAATTTTGCCAAGAAATTGGGATGGAGAATAAAATTGTCCCTAAAATTTTAACTCTGAAATAAGCACTCAAGGGATCACAGGACAGAGAAATGAAGAATCACAAGAAAAACAAAAAGTTTCTAGGCTAGCAAGATTTGACCATGACCCCATTTAAGATATATCCATTTCTAAAGATTATTTCCACCAGCCACAGAGTCATAGAATAAAGTTGCTGGGAAAGACCTAAGCACTGTCCATACAGACTCTGTGGGGAACGGTGTCTGATCAACATTATCGGAATAATATCACTGGAATAGCACTGAACCAGTACCCAGAAGTCATCCAATGGTACAGATGAAAGCATCCCTCTATCTTTGTCTGATAACCTTTTGGGCTGTCGTATTCACGATAGAAAGCTCAGTACTTAGCAAACTGCTCGTGAGCACTAGGTGCAATAAATTTGCTCCAGTTCTTTGATCACAAGTTCTTGACTATTCTTTGGCTCCCCCACACAGTCCTTCTTATGAGGACAGAATGATAAAGTTCTTTTTGGTTCTGTTTGTTTGTTTTGGGCCACAGCCAGCAATGCTCAGGGCTTACCACCTGCTCTATGTTTTGGGATTACTCCTGAAGATGCTCAGGGAATCTTATCAGATGCCAGGGATTGGTTTCAGGTAGGGCAAGTTCCCTATTTATTTATCACTCTGTTCCCCAAGACCTAGTCTTTATAATGGAGAATTCTGGCCTCCTCACCAGTTACAGAATTTACTGAAATATGTAGTTTAGTACTTAAGCTTGTTTCCCTTTAAAGGAAAGGGCCTTGAGTGAGCCACAGGGCAGAGGGAAAGTCTCTGGGCCCTAAATTCTCTAGGATGTTGATTCTGAGCTGAAATATAGAGCTGGACTAGTCCCCATTACAATGCAATAAATTTGGAATTATCCTCTATATTCTGTTAATGAGGAAACAGGCTCGGAAAGTTCTAGCAATTTCTCTAAAGATCTACACTATGAATCTGAATTCAGAGCTATATTTGCCATTTTCTAATGAGATGCATTTCTTCAACTATGCAGATACTCTGTGGAGAGAGGCACCCTCTCTGTCCACTGGCTGTGGCATGCTGCTTCAAAGCTTGCCCAGTCCAGCTTCAATTCAACCATTCATGTATATATACCTCAAGACTTCAAAGCAAAGCAAACGAAGAGTAATAATCAATGCTTAGAAGTTCAGAAGGCCCACCTGGATGAGAAAGGGAGGTACCTCTCAGGGAATTTAGACATCCCTTTCAGGGATGCCTCCTTGACATCTTATAGGACTCCGCACCTCCCACATATGATCCAGACCCAATCAACCTCTTCCATAAATCTCTCAGGCATCTACTTCTTATAACCACCGTATAATCTTTCACCTGAACCTCTACAAAAATTGTCCAGTCTTTTTTTCCCCTTCCACTCTTGTTCTCCTTCATTTTCAGTGACGTTGTCAGTAATCTTTTCGTAATTCAGTCATTGCATTTTTATTTTAAATATCCTTCAGTGGATGTCCCACCTAACCGTCAGGGCCTGTGTTTCATCCCTAAGGAGACTAGCCTGCAGACTGGGCGGCACATTCAGTCCCACATGATCCAGAATGCATACTGAGACCTGAAGTAATTCCCTCAGCTCCTCACCCTGAGGATGTCTAGGTTAGGAGCACATCTGGGTTGCCCTCTCTTCACCCAGGTCATCTCTCCTTATACTGCATGGAAACTGTGATTCCAATGATGTCCTCCCTGAAATCCCAGGGACTTAAATACCTTCTTTAAATACCTTCTTTGCACTAAGAACTGCTTTTTGAATGAATGAATGAATGAATTAATGGTGTATTACACCATAAACTTCATTTTGTCATCTTAAAGTTTTTTAATCTCTCAGACCTCATATTCTCTGCAAAACAGGGATTATAACACCTACACTTTCCAAGTTTTTGCGAGATCTATACTAAACCACATATGTAAATTCTCAGGACCATGTCTGATAGAGACTACTGCTCATATATAATTTGTGGTTAATGTCATTATTTGTCCCATGAAAACTAACCAAAATAAAGTCATGTTCTTGAAAGGGCTCCTGGATATTTCCAGTTTGCCTGGGTATCAGACTGCTCCAGGCCTTCACAGCACCTGGCAAGCTCCACTGATCACAAGTCACGATGCATTCTTGAAGACACCGTTTTGAGAGGCTTTGTCGCTGCAGTAGTGTCCTCAACATTATTCCTAATAGCTGAATCAATGCTTTCAGAAGAAATAGTAGCCAGGGTCACCCCAGACTACATTGCCTGCTGGAGTTATGAGCCAGGGCCTTCCCAGGGTCCTGCAGAGATGCTGCTTGTCTACATTCCCTGAAAGGCACCTGTAGAACTAGGAGGATCTGGAAAGGGGTCCCTAAACAGAAGTCAGACTCAAAGCAGACAGTGGTCCTGGAGAAGTGTCCTGTCACGGCAAAGGTGGAATGTGAGTGCAAGAGCAATGGTTCAGGAAGCAGTCTTCATCTGGACTACTGCACGGCGGCTGCCAAAGACTAAAACTCATAGCTAACAGAAATACACGGAGACCATGCTCTGGTTTTCCAAAAGCCCAGATGCTTTCCGCTCACAGTACAGATTTAAGGGGCTAGGGCCATGAGACAGCAGAGAGGGTATGGCAGGTGCCTTGCAGGGTCCGGCTCCATCCCCATCCCTGGCACCAGGAGGTCCAGGCCAGGAATGACTCTTGAACTCTTACTCAGGAGTAAGCCTGGGGCACCATGGGGGGCGGGGGGGGGGATCCACCCACTCCCAAATATCAGGGGGTAAAATTTTTTTAAAAAGTCATAGTCTGATGTTTTTGAGCGGGTGAGGTTATATTTTTAACAAACTCCTCACGTTTTGACCAGTGTGGTCCTATCCCCTTAAAGAGCAAACCAGCCTTGCAGCTCCTCAGGCCCAGCGACACAGGCACCTTGGGCTGAAGGACACGGCCTAGACCTCCCAGCCGGACTCAGAGGCCTGCTGACCGGCCAGATACGGGTCTGTCCCAAGGGACCCGCGGCCGCCGGCTCACCAGGGCTGGGCATCCCTCAGGGCGGGGTTTCCCCTCACGCCCAACAGCCTGTGCCTACCTCTCCTCCCGCGCCCCCAGACCACGACCCCCAGACCCTGGCCCTGGCCGACCGGCGGCACTGGATGAGCGCCTTGCCCTCCTCCCGCGGCCCCGACCCCCCCAGACTCTGGCCCCTACTTCTGCCCGGACCCCGACCCACCGGCGGCATGGGATGAGCGCCTTCCCCTCCTCCAGCACCCCCAGACGCCCGACCCCGACCCCGACCCCGACCCACCGGCGGCACGGGATGAGCGCCTTCCTCTCCTCCAGCACCCGCACGCGTCTCTGCGGCCCGTCGTAGGACAGCAGCGCGCGGCTGCGGAGGCCGCTGTCGCGCTGGAACAGTACCCGGCGACCCTCCCACTGCTGCGGCGCCTGGCAGGGGCGCGGGGCAGCGCAGGCCGGGCCGCACAGGGCCAGCACCCACAGCCACAGGCCGGTCCGCAGCAGGCCTTCCATGGCCAGGCCACCCGGCCTCGGTCGGCGGGGCGGGCGCGGGAGCTCGCCGGTGCCGCCCGCCGCGCTCGGCCGCCGACAGGAAATGCGGTGGCAGAGGTGCCACCGGGCCCTCCGGCCTCCGCGCCTTAAAGGGCACGCGCAGGGACCCGGGATCTCCCTGCCAACTCCTAGGCGCCGCGGGTCAAGGACAGGTCTGAAAAGCAAGGTTGCTGCACCTGCCTCGGACCCGGTCAAGAACGTCACCTGCTTTCTCCAAATTAGAAAACGGGGAAGTGGGCATTGGTGATGCATGTGTTATGGTGCATGGAACCATCACTTAATGGTGCTGAGAATCACAAAACCTCAATAAAGAGTTTTTCATCAGGGGATAAGAGCAACAGTTACAGGGGGTAGGGCACTGCCTCGCAGAGGCCTACTGGGTTTCATCTCATCATCCCATATGGTCTCCTGAGCATCACCAGGTGTGATCCCTGATCACAGAAGCAGGAGTAAGCCTTGAGTACCAAGGGTGTGGCCCCCAAACCAAAAAAACTCCAAAGTAAACTCAAAGTGGATTTAAGACCTCAATATTAGACCAGAATCCATAAAATGCATGTAAAAAAACACTGGCAAATTTCTCAAAGAAATTGACTACCCAGTTTTCTTAGATGAGAAAATCATAAAGGGAAAGTCAAGAAAAACAAAAATAAACAAGAGGACAACATGAAATTAGAAAGCTGCACAGAGAAAGAAACTTGAACCACAGTAAACACCCTACCGAATGGGAGAAAATATTTGCATGCAATACATCAGATAAAGTACTAATATCCAAGACATGTAAAGTAAAAGTCAACAACAGCAAGATCCAAAGACCCCACCCACAAGTGTGGTGAGAAGATGAACATTTTTCCAATGAAGACACAGTCAATAGACATGGAAAAAAAGTGCTCATCACTCATTATTAGGGAAAAGCAAACCAAAACAACATTCAGATGTAGGATAACATTGGTTTGTTCTTTCTTTTCTGCCTCAAGGTGTTTAGGCTTAGTGGGTTATACTAATCACAGTGCTCCTGAGGCACTTCCATTCCTCTGTGCTTATTTTTAACCTTTCTCTGTGCTCTGCTTCCCCAGCTGGTTAATCACCCTTATACCCAAATCAGACTTCTGACTTGTAGGGTCAGATCCTTCTAAGGACTCTAGATTTTGTACATATAAGTAAAATATTGCTTTTCTAGCACAGCGGTAGGGCGTTCGCGTTACAAGCGGCCAACATGGCTGACCCGAGTTCGATTCCTCCGCCCCTCTCGGAGAGCCCGGCAAGCTACCGAGAGTATTCGATATGCCAAACACAGTAACAACAAAGTCTCCAATGGAGACGTTACTGGGCCCGCTCGAGCAAATCGACGATCAACGGGAGGGTCTTTACCTTACCTTTACCTCCTTCCCTTATATCCTTTGCAGAGTTTACTTTAGAGCAATGTTTTTTGTATAGACACAGGAAGACAGTTAATTCTATGCTTTTGTAACTTGGGAGTTAATTAAATCTGAATAATACTTACCCCTGGACATCTTCTCATATTTATTCAACTTAATACTTAGTTTCCCTTAGTTCCTAGCACCCCAGAAGTAGGGTCCCAACAAAGGGATTGGATGAACCCAGTGCAAGCTGTGAGCTACCCTGGTATCAAAACGGGACAGGCCAAGCACCATAATGTAAGTTAAGAGCACAGTTGTGGATGAATTTTGTAATGACCCAAAGAGAAGTAATTGGCTAAGAACGCTGTAGGGATTAGGAAAGACTAATCTGCCTAAGCACTGTAGTCTGGGATCTGCAAGATGTCGTCAGGAGAGCCACCCTACAAGCTTAATATATCTCTTACTGTGTCCATACAAAATACTAGAAAGATTATTAAGAAGTAAATAAATCTAAGATGATTGTTTATGGACTACGGAAATGAGAAGTATGTCCTTAGATGAAATTCCGTCCTTTAGCAAATCTCCTAGCAGGAAGAGATATTTGTCTGAGAAGAGCTTCCGGAGAAGGAAGGGTTTTACATATGTTCACTGTGCTTTCTGACCTAGGTGTGGTTGCTACCCCCAATGCTTGGAGGTTTATACTCTATACATAGTACTCTACACAGTAGAATACTATGCAGCTCTTATAAAAATAAAATCACGCAGTTTGTTGTGAAATGGATGGAACCAGTGAATATCACGCTGAGTGAAGTGAGTCAGTAGGAAGAATCTGATACAGAATGATCACTCACATGTGGAACTTAAAGCTACACAACAAGGGAGCAACAATGAGCCACAGGCAACACAACAGAAGAACTGGTCCACACAACAGAGTATATATGGGGGCAGTTGAAAGGAAGGGGAGATAGGGTCCTTGGGGAGAAAATGTGGGGCTGGAATTATATACACAGGAAAGCATCATTACCAATGTTTTAAATCACCGGAACCTCAATCAATTAGCAAAACTTTTAAAAAATGTGCCTGCTAAGGAAGCCAGCTGGGGAAAGGGGAAGGGACCTGAGGACATTGGTGAAGGGAAATTGACATTGGTGAAGGGACTTATCTTGGAACATTGTATGTCTGAACGTCTGTGAAAGACACAATTGTAAATCATAGTGCCTACATTTAAATATATATATAAATGTTATCCTTGGAAAGAATCAGTGAGCTAGAAGATCAGCTGCAACAAGCCAACAGGCAACAACTAACAGTGGCAAAGGACTTCAAAATAGCTCTATATAGAATCAGAATCCTAGGAGACGATTCCAAAAGAAACAACATTAGAATCATTGGACTACCAGAAGCTCAGGGAAACAATCCCAATGAAAAAACCATGGTTAAACAAATCATCGCCGAAAAATTCCCAGAGCTCCACAATGCTGCCGTTCAGATTCAAGAAGCCCGAAGGGTGCCAGCTAAAAGAGATCCTAACAAAAACAGTCCAAGACATATTATAGTTAGAATGATTGATGCTGCTGATAGAGACACAATACTGCAAGCAGCAAGGGCAAAGAAGGAAATCACATACAAAGGAGCACCCCTTAGATTCACAGCAGACCTATCAGAGAAAACCCTACAAGCCCGAAGGAAGTGGCAAGATATAGTGAAAAAAACTCACCAAAATGAGTGCTTCACCAAGAGTACTCTATCCAGCTATACACTCATTCAAAATTGAAGGAATGGTACACTATTTTCTAGATAAACAGCAGCTCAGGAACTTTATAGACTCAAAAACCAAATCTAAAACAAGGCCTAAAGGGGCTACTATAAGACAAGACAAACCCTACAACCACAACACACCCGCACAGAAAGATGACACAAAACCCCATAACAATAATCTCTCTCAATGTCAATGGTCAAAATTCACCAATTAAAAGACACAGAGTGGCAAAATGAATACAGAGACAGAACCCAACATTCCGCTGCCTACAAGAAACTCATCTCAACAGTCAGAGCAAACACAGACTCAAAGTCAAGGATGGAAAACAATCCTGCAAGCAAAGAGCTCCCTCAAAAAAGCTGGGGTGGCCATACTAGTATCCGACAACATTAATTTCACCTTGAAAAAGATTAGAAAAGACAGTGAAGGCTATTTTCTCTTCATCAAAGGATACATACAACAGGAAGAAATCACACTCTTAAATGTATATGCACCTAATGAGGGAACAGCTAAATATTTAAAACAACTGCTAACAGATTTTAAGGAGGACATTGCTAGCAACACAATAGTACTTGGAGACTTCAACATCGCCTTATCACCTCTGGATAGATCAACAAGAACAAAACCCAACAAGGAATCATTGGCTTTGAAAGAATAAATAGAATAGAAAGGGCTTATAGACCTATACAGGGCTTTACACCCCAAAAAGAAAGAATACACATTCTTCTCCAGTGCGCATGGAACATTTTCCAAAATAGACCATGTGCTAGGCCACAAAACATACCTTAACAGAATCAGGAAGATAGAAAGAGTATCAACCATCTTTTCAGACCATGATTCACTGAGGATAGAAGTGAATCACACACAGACACGGAGAACCAAATCAAACACCTGGAAATTAAACAACTCAATGCTGAACAACGAGTGGGTCAGGAACAAAGTCAAGAACAAAATCAAAAAATACCTGGAAACAAATGAGAATGAAGACACGAGCTATCAGAACCTATGGGATGCAGCGAAAGCCGTATAAAGGGGAAAATTTATAGCTCTTCAAGCATATCTTAGGTCTGTAGAAATGATGCACAGAAACAACTTGACCTCACAGCTCAAGATATTAGAAAAGGATCAACAGAAAGAGCCTAAATCTGGCAGAAGGAAAGAGATCATAAAACTTAGAGCAGAAATCAATGACATGAAAACCAAAGAAACAATCTGAAAGATCAATGAAACCAAGAGCTGGTTCTTCGAGAAAATAAACAAGATAGGTAAGCCACTAGCAACACTCACAAAGAAACAGAGAGAGAGAGCCCTAATAAACCGAATCAGAAATGAGAAGGGGGATATCACAACAGAAACCAAGGAAATCCAAAAGATCATCAGAGACTACTTTGAAAGTCTGTATGCCACGAAACAAGAGAACCTAGAAGAAATGGATTAGTTCCTGGATTCCTATAATCTCCCAAAGCTGAATCAAGAGGATCAAGAGTTTCTGAATAGACCTATTAACATCAACGAAATTGAAACTGTAATCAAAAGTCTTCCCAAAAACAAAAGCCCAGGTCCAGATGGATTCACTAGCGAATTTTTCCAAACATCTAAAGAGGAACTACTGCCAGTCCTTCTCAAGCTTTTCCAGGAAATTGAAAAAACATAAACTCTCCCAAACAGTTTCTATGAAGCCCATATCTCTCTAATACCAAAAGGAAACAAAGACACCAGGAGAAAAGAAAACTACAGGGGAATATCCCTGATGAACATGGATGCGAAGATTCTCAAGAAAATACTAGCATATAGAATTCAACTACTTATCAAAAAGATCATACACCATGACCAAGTAGGCTTCATCCCAGGGATGCAAGGCTGGTTTAACACTCGGAAATCAA